ATTGCTTTTTCTTATTATCCATTCACCACTTAGCATATCATTTACTGGTCCAAAAATCTTTTGCAGAATTTTTCTTTCCAGATTTAAGAGTTTATTTCTTTCATCAATTTTCCTTAATGGCCATGTCTCAGCTTCATAAGTAATTACAGGTCATATTAATGTTGTGAATAATTGTATTTTTAAATTCTTTGAAAGTGATCTTGATCCTAATAATTTTGCAAKACCATAGAGGCATTTATTTCTATTTCAATTTCATTTCACTCTGAAGTATAAACTCTAGGTATTTGAATTGTTTTGTTCTTTTGAAATGTTAATTGTTGGTGTTAAGAGTTGGATATAGTCTTATGGTATATCGTCTTCTTACTATAATATTTTTAGTTTTGTAATCATTAATCTGAAGTCCAACTTTCAGTGCTGCTTTTTCCAACCGATTTAATAAGGATTTTAGTCTGTCTTGCGATTCATCCATGATTACCAAATCATCTACGTACGCCAGCAGTCCTRTGGACGATTCATGGAATTTAACTCCTTGAAGTGTAATATTTAGCTCCCTTATCACTTTCTSTACTACTATATTAAATAAGATTGATGAAATAGCGGCCCCCTATCTTAAAACCAATTTAACTAATATTGGGTCAGTAGAAGTATTTCCAACTTTCTTTGACAAATGTTTCCAAAATGCTTATCTCACCAGCTTGATAATTCTCTCTGCCGTATGCTATCATACGCCTTCTTATAAAATCTATGAAAAGAATATAACGTATTTCACTAGAGAAATCCTAAGTTTTTTAATGTATTTGTCTTAAAATTAATATATAGCCTATGGTAATTGCCAATAACTTGTTCCGATTTTTCTTTTATTCTTGATAAATGATAATATGCAATTTAAAAAAATGTTATAAGCCACATTTAAGGGAGCTATGCTACAATAATTATTGTAGTCTTGTTTACTTCCTTTTTATGTATTTTTTGTATTTTTATGTATTTTTATGTATTAAATCACCACTGTCTTCCACTCTTCATGCCTTTTTTCTGTTGTTCGGACCTCATGAATTACCTTCCATAACTAAAATACCATTTCTTCTCCCCCTTTCTTTAGAAGCTCCGACTGAATATCATCTTCTTCAGGAGATTTATTGTTTTTAGTATCTTTATCTGAGATTTTATTTMTTTCAAGGTCGGTTCTTCACAATCTTGTGGTTCTCAGATTCMCTGGTTAAAATAGAAGATGTCATTCGATTCTTCACAGTTCAATAACTTTTAAAATTAATCACCCCCATATCTTTACCAAATCTTCATTTGTGGTTATCAAGGAGCCATCATTATCCCTTAGAAATATTTCTTTCATTTTGTATCCAYCTCTGATAATTAAACCTTAATAGTTTTTGTTGCTTAATGCAGCCTCTAGCGACCTGTGCATTAAATTTACATTGTCTTCAATAAAATTAGTTAGGTAATTTTATTTTTTTTTCTTAGTAAATTCAATTTCATTTTTAATTAAAAATGTTRTCCAAAGAATAAGTTTTAAAACGCCGTCATATTTATGCCAATATATAGAGATTCTTTGTTGGTAATCTTTCTAATGTTTTCAAAGTTTAAAATCTTTGTTTTTTCTTTATCAACTTTAAATTAAAGCCATTAAATCTTGGCGTTCTACCTGTGGATACACTTTTAAGAAGGTATAAATATT